CAGTTCTTCACTTAAATGGGAGGGCTGAGTCTTGGTTTTTCTCCTATCAGTTGAGTAGAGGAATGGTGAGATGGCCAGATTTTGTTGAGGAAATTTGTAAACGATTTAATGATTCTGATAATAGTCATCTAAATCTACTGGGAAAATTTAAGAGAATTGAGCAAAAGGGAACTATGTATGAATATTTAGAGAAGTTTGAAGATTTGAAAGCTTGGGTACTTATCAAATACCTAACCATTCCTGAAGAATTCTTTCTAGGGTTTTTCATTGAAGGACTTAAGGAAGAAATCAGGCATACAGTCAAAATGCTCGATCCATTTTCCCTAAGTCAAGCTCTAGAGAAGGCTAGACATAAGGAAGAATTTTTGGATTCAATAAGTAGAAAGAGTAGGGGGGGGGGGGGCAGGAAGACAATCAACTCAGTACAATTCATATACTGGAACAGCAGGGGGTAGAACAGCTGGGAATGTACAGAAGGAAAGTTATTCTAACTCTACCAGTCTGGTAATAAGTTGTTTGAAGCAAGAAAGGCCAGGGGTGAATGCTATAGATGTGGAGAGAAGTACTTCCCAGGTCATCAATGCAAGGATAAGCAATTGAACACCCTGCATGGTACTACTGATCAAGATACAATAGAGGAAAGTCAAAGAATAGAAGAAATAGAAGAAGTGGAAAATGATCAGGAGGAGATAATTGATGAGGCCATAAGCCTTAATGCCTTATCAGGAACTGTAACCTCTAATACCATCAAGTTAAAAGGAATGTAGGGGAAACAAAAGTTGATAATTCTAGCTAATAGTGGTAGCACTCATAGTTTTGTGGCTAGTAGTTCTACAAAACAATTGGGATGTGTAATCAAGGAAGATGCACCTATGAGGGTTACTGCAGCTAATGGCAGTCATTTGATGAGCTATCATTCCTATTCTTCATTCAAATGGAAGATGCATGGAATTGAATTTGAGCACAAGCTCAGATTGTTAGATGTTGGAGGGTGTGACATGGTGTTGGGAGTAGATTGGATGAGGAAACACAATCCAGTCTTATTTGATTTTATTGACTATAAGCTCCAAGTGAGTGTTAATGGTAAAAGAGTGGAATTGAAGGGATTTTCTGAAGAAGGTCAACTGCAGGCCATGACTGCCTCTAGGGTTAAACAATTGTTGAGGAAGGGACAAGTGATGTGGGCACACTTATTTTCAATCTCAGCTAAGGAAGTAGAAGTTACAGCAGAATTACCTGAAGAGATCAGATCAGTGCTCCGGGACTTTCCCAAAGTGTTTGCAGAGCCAAAGACCTTACCACCAAGGAGGGACCATGATCACTCCATTCCCCTCAAACCTGATGAAGCACCTGTAAGTATCAGACCTACAGGTATAACTATTTTCAGAAGAATGAAATAGAGAAACAAATTAATGAAAATGTTGACAAATGGAATTATCCAACCTAGTCACTCTCCATTCTCCTCAGCAGTATTTTTAGTTAAAAAGAAATATGGTAGTTGGAGATTTTGCATTGACTATAGAGAGCTTAATAAGATGACAATTAAGGACAAGTTTCCTATACCTTTGGTAGATGATTTAATGGATGAACTCAATGGATCTTGTATCTATTCAAAGATTGACTTGAGGGCTCGTTATCATCAGATCAGAATGAGTGAAGGTGATATTTTTAAAACTGCATTCAGAACTCATTTAGGACATTATGAGTACAAGGTCATGCCCTTTGGCTTGACCAATGCACCTGCCACTTTTCAAAGCCTAATGAACCATGTTTTCAAACCATTTATGAGGAAGTTTGTATTGGTGTTCTTTGATGATATATTAATCTACCGTCCTACATTAGAAGCTCATGCACTTCATCTTAGAACAGTGCTGGAAGTTCTACAGAAAGAGCAGCTCTATGCCAAATTGTCCAAATGTTCATTTGGGCAGGACAAAGTGGAATATCTAGGGCATATTATTTCAGGAAGAGGGGTAGCTACTGATCCTGCTAAAATTGAAGCTATGTTGTCCTGGCCTGTGTCAAAATCTATCAAGGCCCTTAGAGGTTTCCTAGGGCTCACAGGTTACTATAGGAGGTTTGTTAAGTCTTATGGGGTGATTAGCAGACCCCTAACAAACCTACTCCAAAAGAATGTATTTTAATGGAATGAAGAAGCAGAATTGGCTTTTCAGCAACTAAAAGAAGCCATGGCAACAGTTCCCGGTTTGGCTCTAGCTGACTTCACTAAGCCTTTTGTAGTGGAGACTGATGCATGCTGTACTGGGATAGGAGCTGTGTTGATGCAATCTGGTAGACCTATAGCTTATTTTAGCAAGACTCTTGCCCTTAAACATAGAGGACTTTCTACTTATGAGAAAGAATATATGGCTGTGCTATCAGCCATAGACAAGTGGAGACACTACTTACAACGAGGGCATTTCATTGTTAAGATAGACATTAGAGCTTAAAGTACTTACTAAAGCAAAAGGTAACTACAGCATTACAAGAGAAGGACCTGACAAAACTTCTGGGATTGGACTATGAGGTGCAATATAAAAAAGGGGTAGAAAACAAGGTGGCAGATGCTTTATCGAGAAGACATGAAGAGGACTCTACACTCTTAGCCCTTTCTACCACTCAGGCTACATGGATTGAAGAAGTCTGTGAGAACTATGAGTCTGATCCCTTAGCCTTACAACTACTCAGTGAACTATCAATTTCTTCCTCCAGCAATCCAGATTATTCATTGCAACAAGGAGTCATAAGGTATAAACACAAGATATACATTGAGAGAAGCACTACTCTGAAAACCAAGATTTTAGAAGCCTTGCATCAGTCACCTATTGGAGGGCACTCAGGTCAACAAGGAACCTATAGGAGAATACAGTATGTGTTCTATTGGCCAAATATGAAGGCTGAGATTTGCAAATGGGTAAGTGAGTGTGATGTGTGTCAAAGAGTTAAATTAGAAAACATTCACCCTTCTAGGCTTCTACAACCCCTCCCTATACCCACACAGGCTTGGCAGGACATATCATTAGACTTTGTAGAAGGTTTACCAATTTCTGGGCACAAAAATGCAATCTTGGTAGTAGTGGATAGACTGACCAAGTATGGGCACTTCCTGGCACTCAGACACCCCTATACAGCTCAAGATGTTTCAGAATTATTTCTCAGGGAAATCTACAGGTTACATGGATTACCAAAGACTATTGTCTCTGATAGAGATGCTGTTTTCACCAGCCATTTCTGGCAATATCTCTTTAAAGCGTTGGGCACTAAGCTCAACATGAGCACTGCCTACCACCCTCAATCTGATGGACAAACAGAGAGACTCAATAGGTGCATGGAAACCTATTTGAGAGCTATGGTCTTCAATAATCCTAAGTAGTGGGGAAAATGGTTACACTTAGCGGAATGGTGGTACAACACCAACTATCACAACTCCCTCAAGACTACACCTTTTCAGGCACTCTATGGGTATGCTCCTCCACAACTTCCAATGGGGTCCTTACCACAGACTGGTCATCAGTCAGCACGAGAGTGCCTAGCTCAGAGACAACAGATGCTACAATCTCTAAGAGACAATTTGACACAGGCTCAATCTAGAATGAAGTTCTACGCTGACAAGTTAAGATTTGAACGAGTATTGATGGTTGGAGATCTAGTCTACCTTAAACTACAGCTATATCGACAATCCTCCATCGATGTCAGAAGAAATATCAAGTTATGTGCTCGTTTTATGGACCTTACAAGGTCATGCAAAGAATCGGAATAGTGGCTTACCGACTAGGGCTTCCAGAAGGGTCTCAGCTGCATCCGGTCTTTCACATCTCCCAGTTGAAGAAACGTGTTCGTCCATCCATTACTCCACAGCTACAACCACCAATTTGTGATGGCGAAGGATGAATCTTGATTCAACCTGTTGCAATCCTTCAAAGACGCATGGTGAAGGAAAATAATGGTGTGGGGGTGAAAGTTTTGGTTCAATGGGCAAATTTAAGGGAGAAGGATGTTACATGGGAAGATTGGAGCTATATCAAAAGCAGATTTCCTGATTTTGTTGCTCAACAAATACCTTGAGGACAAGGTCGTTCTTGGAGAGGTAGGGATTGTAATGTATGAAGGAAATGGATTAGGAAAGTAGGCGGATATGTCTATATTGGGACCTTATTTCTATATTGAGGGTTTTATATCAGAAGTGGATCAGGCTAAGCATTGGGTTCAAATTGGTCTTATAGCTATTGGGCCAACGGAGATAAACTAGAGCAGGCCCAATTACAAATTAGCCCATAAATAATTCAGTCCACAAGTAGCTAGTGAGGAGTATTAATACGCAGAAGAAGGAAGGAAGCAATAGGCAAATTCTGGTAATTTTCAGTTACAACTTCCTAACTACTTTCTCTCCCTCTCTTCTCACCTCTAACCTCCTTCTCTTCTCCTTCTTTCAGGTTATCAATGGCGTCATTGTAGTTCTATTGTAGAGATACATTGTAACATTTCCAATTCTATTACAAATCAATAAAGAAATCCTACTCTTTCTCATTGTCTTCTTCTCAAATTCTATTACAAATTCTAGTATATTACATAATAAAGGGGATGTAAGTATATTTGTCCCCACGGGCCTCACCTCACTATATTCCAAAATGTAAAAACAACAGAAAATTTAACAGCTTGTGTCGGAAACTATCATGATATATTCCCATATGACGAAAGACATATCATAAACAGGGGCGGCTCAAGAGAGAGGCTAGTAAAGCCTTTGCTTTATGCCCCTAAATTTTGGGGCCCCAAAAATATTTTTAGTTGTGGATTATTTTATCTTATTTTCCCTTAGATAATATTGATAAAAAAAATTGTCTATTTTTTAACAATAGAAATATTTTAAAAATGTGAATTAAGATACTCAAATCTTCATATTGGTAAGCCTTTTACAGTAAGATCTAAGGTACGCATTGTAAATACGTTCTAACATCTTATTAACGTGAATTTTCTTATCAATGACATAAAGAACAAAGAAAAGAAACCAATGCAAATATTAATACTATATTTTATAGAATAATTACACTATAGACAAAAGAAAAAACAAAAGGCCCCTTATTAAAAAATTTCTTTAGGCCACGAGTTTTGTTGAGATGTCCTAGATCATAAATAGGTAAGCCGTAAAACACAAGAAGAAGAAAGTACAGTAGTGGGATTCCCAAAGTAAGTCAAAAGCAAGGTTCTTATTTTAAAAAGGTTTGATGCCCTTGACATCACTCTTGACAAGGTTGATAAGGAGTAGCGAACAAGTACAGGTTGCTCTTTCTAGCACAAGATGCTCCAGCCGATTCAGTCAAGTCTAGTTCACATGGATTGATTCCGGTTGGAAGTTTCCAATCAAAGTGATACAACAATTGAGCCAATGGAAAATAAACATTAGCTAAACCAAATGATATCCCAGGGCAACTCCTTCTTCCACTACCAAAGGGAAGATATTCAAAATTATTACCAACAAAATCCATAGAGTTGTGCTCAAATCTGTCAGGTTTAAAGATTTCTGCATCATCCCAGTATTTTGGATCTCTACCAATAGCCCAAACATTAACCATGACTTTTGCTTTCAAAGGAATAGTGTACTCGTTTATGTCTGTTTCTTCCCTACATTCTCTTGGGAGCAAAAGAGGAAATGGAGGATGTAGTCTGAAAGTTTCTTTAATGACCAACTTTAGGTATTTCAAATCCTCGACATCATTTTCATCAAAAGTTTCTTTTCCTCTAAAGGCTTTTCTTACTTCTGTTTGAGCTTTGACCAATACACTTGGATTCTTCATCATTTCCACCATGGCCCAATCAATTGTTACCGATGAAGTTTCTGTTCCCGCAGCAAACATATCCTTCATTTATGAACAAGTAACAATATTAAAGTATCTCTTTCATGTTGTTTATTTTGTACAAACTCTTTGACCAACTTCTATTTAAATGTTCAAATAACTTACTTATACTAGATTTGTTCTCCTACCTTTTTCTTCTTTTTACATTCGAAGGAACTTTTAAGTTTTGAAGGCCAATTTTTTTTTGTATCCTGATATTATTTCGTTATCGTAGATCTGCTACCTTGTGGTGGTTGATATACTCTTTTCATTGTACTTTTCAAATATCTGTAGATTTCATCGTGAATGTAAGATTAGTATTCATATTTGAAAGTTGAAACTAGCTTAACCGACTATCTTAGTACAAAAAAATAATTGTAGAAATTAATTATGCAATTTGAGAACATAAGTTTAAACTTAAATAGTAACACTCCCTCCATTCACTTAATATGAGAGTAGTTGACTGGGGATGGAATGTAACAAAGAAAGCGAAAATTATGAGAACTCGTAATTTTAAACATGCAATGACATTTGTGTGACTTAAAAATGTCACATTAAAGGTAAATTGAGAAGTTTAAAAATTAAATTATTTCTAGAACAGGTGCCCTTTTTTGAAATAAACTAAAGAGGAAAGCACGTCATATGAAATATGGAACACACTGGTTGATAGTAACATTAATAATAGTAAGGGTAGAATTGTGCAGTATATAGTACTTACAAAAATAATGGCTTTAATGTTGTCGTTGGTGATTGGAAATTGAAGGCCTCCCTCTTTCATAAGTCTTAATAGTACATCAATTAAACCTTTACCTCCTAATTCACCAGTTGCAATTTCCTTGCGCTCATTGATGATATTTTCAAGAATGGCATCTATCTTGTGGTGGACATCCATAACTCTAGCCTTCTTTCCACTTAACACATGAAGAAACTTCAGTGATGGGAATATATCAGCTACATCAAACCCTTCCACTAAGGCTGTATTTCTCTTGACTAGTAGTATAAATTCGTCTTGCTCCTTAATTACTTTCCCAAATGCTGATCTACATGTCATAGTACTTGTGAATTGACAAATCCTCTTTGTTACATTAACTTGCTGATCAGTAGATGATCGAAAAAATTCAATCATACGATGAACTTCATCTTGTCTAATCGAGCTAAATGATCGGACATTTTTGGCAGTAAGCAATTCAATCATACAAATCTTACGCATTTGTCTCCAGTAATCGCCATATGGGCAAAAGGCGATATCAGAACAGTTGTAAAAGACAATCTCGGTGGCCAAAAATTTAGGCCTAGATGCAAAAGCAAGGTCATGAGTTTTTAGTACTTCTTTTGCCATCTCTGGAGAAGTAACTACAACTACAGACATTTCCCCTAGCTGAAGGTGCATAAGGGGTCCATGTTTTTTGGCTAAATTTGTTAGGACATGGTGTGGATGTCCACCTAGCATATGAAACATGCTTCCAATTAAAGGTAATTTCCATGGACCAGGAGGCAATCTTTTGGTTTGGCTATTTGATTTCTTCCATTTCCTAAATAAAAAGAGAGAAGATACAAAAAGAAAAATGGAAACCAAGTTGAAAAACTGCATTTTGGCTTGATAGGTTCTGCAAAGTAAGTTGCAAATATATGCGCTTTTATAGGCCTTTTGCTTTCGCAAGAAAATGGGTTTTTCTAGTCAAAATAATATGACAGATAAATGTTTGACCTGACTTAAAGAATACAAAACTAGGTGAGAAATATTAATATTTTAATCGACTAATTATTGGAGATGAGGTTCTTATTAAGCAATGGAAGCATGACAAAGAACATTGTCAATTGTGGCTGCTAGAATTTTTTATTTTAGATAAGAAATCTTCTAGAAAAATTCGTAAAATTAGAGAAACTTCTCTTCTTAGCCATAAGTATGTTTATCAGATTATTTAAAAATAAATTTTAAATAAATATATAAGTTAGTAGACAATAATTTGTGAATATTTCCACGTAATTCTGTTCTTTTCACGTTTATTATTTCCAAAATTTATGATTTAGATATTGTTGGCAATCTAATTATTTTATAATAGTAATACACTATGAAAGAATAAGGTGATTATTTATCTAGTATGTTAGAAAGCTTTTTCAAAAACCTCAACTATTTTAGTGCTGAAGCTTTTACAAATGAACTAAATAACTTCAGCATCTTCTGCTGAAGTTTTTGAAAAAGTTTAATGACAAAACTAATGAATCCAGGACAAAAAAACTTCAGCTATTTTAGTGCTGAAGTTTTAACAAATGAACTAAATAACTTCAGCATCTTATCTAGGACAAAAAAACTTCAGCATATTGCCTTTGCTACTTCAGGCCCGTCTATTAGAATGTTGAATTTTTGCGTGATTGTCTTTGCTACTTCAGCCCTGTATGCTGATGTTACGCGAAAAAGTGGGTACTCTTGCAATTTTTTTGCAAAGCGGGCACAAGTTAAAATGTGACCCAAAAAACGGGTGTAGATGCAAATCCCCCACTTTCGTGTTCCTTGTTAATTTTTGCATGCTTGGGCCTTCTTATTTTTTCCTTTCAAAATTAACCACCTGACTTACCCATTTAAATTTTCAACAAAATATATGTGCTGTCCTACCCTATCTGTCCATTGCCATCCATAGAGGAGAACCAACCTATGAAATGGACTTTAAGGTTGAGAACAAATTTTTACTTAGCCTTAACCTTTTCGCCCATTTCATAGGTTGGTCCTCCTCTAGGGATGGCATTCAGAGGCGGATTTGGGTTTTTTACGCGATTGGAGCACAGTATTGTGTTCAATCAGTGCCCTCTAAAGGATTTTAGGGCTCATAGTGCCAAGTGCTTTATACATATACAAGATTTCTGCAGAAGCTTACGGGGTCCGGTGACCCCTCAATATAACTCATATGTCCGCCTCTGATGGTATTGGGGTTTGGTGTGATGAGTGCATGTCAAGAGTTTAATTTGGTTATATTTCATGTGGTAATTTGTCATTGTGTGAGTAATTAATTTCAGCGCCATTAGTACTAGAAAACTCATTTTTGTGTTTTGTGATGTACAGACATATCACGACCCAATTCCCGAACCCGATCGTGATGGCGCCTCTCGTGAAGACAAAGCCAGCCAGACTAATACAAAACACCTCTTCTAAGCAATTAATCACCGTTAAGCAATTATGAAGCATGATTTAATAACAATAATTTGCGAAAACTTAGATAATAATAGTAAAACCATCCCGACACAGCCCAAACCGGGGTGTCACAAGTCACGAGCATCTATAAGAATGTAATTAAATTTACAAGTCTAGAAATAAACTGAACAGGAATAATGAATAACATATAAAGAAACGGTGCTGCGAACGCTAGCAATCACCTCGCTAAACTACTACAGCTCTGCCTCCAAACAGCCAATACCCGCTACCGGGTGAATAAATACCTGCAACTGCACACGAGGTGCAGGGAGTAAAGTGAGTACTCCAACTCAGTGAGTAATAAAGGTAAATAACAACTGAGCAGTAAGAAATCACGTAAAGCAACCAACATGCTGTATAGAAGCAGGGTACAATCCTTGAGAAAACAGTGAAGCTGTGAAATCTTTAGAAATATATTGGCTCAGTTTAAATTTCTTTTGAAAATGATCTTTTCAACAGTTACGAAACGATTTCAAACAGTTAGTGCTGATAAGCGCAGAAAAATCCGCCCCTCGGGCACAAATACCGTAATATAACAGGTAAAAAGGCAAGTAAATATGCAAGATGAGCACATAAAAGTTCGCCCCTCGCAATATCTCAAAACAGTACCGGCCCCTCGGGCTCACCCTTAGAAACACTCTCAGTCCCTCGGGCTCTCTCTCTTCAATCACTCTCAGAACAGTATCATATAGTAACCGCTGCGGCGTGCAGCCCGATCCACATCTCGCTGCGGCGTGCAGCCCGATCCATATATCGTCGACGGCGCTCACTGGGGGTGTGCAGACTCCGGGAGGGGCCCGTTACGGCCCAAGCGCAATATCAAGCTACCTCGTGGCATATAACATAAGGCTTGAAAGCCTTCTCACATCGCTCATAAGGCCTGAAAGCCTCCTCACATCACTCACAAGGCCTGAAAGCCTCCTCACATCACTCACAAGGCCTGAAAGCCTCCTCACATCACTCACATATCCTCACATATGGCCCTCGGCCTCACTCAGTCCAGAAAACATCATAAGCCTCTCGGGCATCAATAAATAGTAGTGCTCGGCCCAAACAACAGTGGAAATATCATTTAAGTCTCAAAGTTCAATTAAAGCTACTGAGTTTGTAAAACAGTATAATCAACAGGACTGAGTTCAAGTAGTATATCAAAATAGTGAGGAAACAATGATAAAAATCCCCGAAGGGTTCAGATAATTGGCACGAAGCCCAAATATGGCAATCAGCCCAAATCATGATAATAACAAATAAGTTTCAGTCGAATACGCAGTAATATCATCAATCGGGACGGACCAAGTCACAATCCCTCGACGGTGCTCTACCCCACGCTCGCTATCCGGCGTGCAAGTCACCTCAATATAGCACTACGGTGTGCAATCCGGGGTTTCAAACCCTCAGGATATCATTTACAATCATTACTCACCTCGAACCGGCGAAATCTCTAGCTCGCGACGCCTTTGCCCCTCAAATCGGCCTCCACGCGTGTCGAATCTATCCAAAACCAGAACGAATACGTCACAATATGCCAATGGAACAATACCCAATCGAAAACAATCGAAAAATATTAAAAATCTCGAAATTGGCAAAACCCGAGCCCCGGGCCCACTTCTCGAATTCCAGAAAATTATACATCAACGGATTCCTTATCTCGCCACGAGTCTATACATATTAAGAACTCCCAAATCCGAGCTCAAATGACCCATCAAAACCCAATTTGAAATACCAAAACTCAAGCCCTAGTTCTTCCCCCCTTTTTGATAAATTTTCATGAATTTCTAGGTTGATTCTACAATTAAATCATGTATTTAGGTCATAGAACTCACCTCCAATCAATCCCAATCGAAATCCCCTTCAATTCTCGTCCAAAAGCTCTCAAGGATGTTCAAAAATGGTGGAAAAATACCTTAGCTCGCGGAATAAAATGAAGCTTTAAAACCCTTCTGCCCAGACATTTTTCGCATTTGCGATCCAATTACCGCATTTGCGGTTTCCGCTTCTGTGGAATTCTTCCGCTTCTGCGATGCTTCACTATTTTCCAAGAACCGCTTCTGCGGTCACAATCCGCATCTGCGGACTCCGCACCTGCGGAAAATCATCCGCTTCTGCGGAAATCCCCCAATAGTCAATATCCGCACCTGCGATCCCCTTTTCGCATCTGCGGAACCGCATCTGTTGCCTCTTTTCCGCATATGCGGAAATACCAGAACCAGCAACTTCTGAAATGCTACAAGTCCAAAATTCATCCCAATGGCCATCCGAAATAACCCCGAGGCCCCCGGGACCTCAACCAAAAGTGCCAATCCATCCTAATACATCATTTACACTTGCTTGAATCATCAAAACACCTCCACCAACACCAAAACCATCAAATTACATCGGATTCAAGCCTAAGTTCTTCTAAAACTTTCGAAACACGCATTTGATCAAAAACCCGACCAATACACCTCCGAATGACCTGAAATTTTGCACACATATCCCAAATCACCTAACGAAGCTACATCAACTCTCGAAATTCCATTTCGACCCTCTGATCAAAATCTCACCTATCAACCGGAATTCGCCAAAATACTAACTTCGCCAATTCAAGCCTAATTCTATACCGGACTTCCAAAACCAATTCCGATCACGCTCCTAAGTCACAAATCGCCTAACGAAGCTAACCAAATCATAAAAACTCCGATCCGAGCTCATATACAAATAAGTCAACTCTTGGTCAAACCTTTCAAATTCAAAGCTTTCAATTAAAACTTCTTTCAAATTCATTCCAAATTTTCCTAAAAACCAAAACCAACGATCTACATTAGTCATAATACATAACACGGGGCAAGTCATGCCCGAGAACTGGCGATCAAAGTGCAAAATCTCAAAACGACCGGTCGGGTCGTTACATCCTCCCCCATTTAAACACACGTTCGTCCTCGAACGTACCCAGAGTAAGCCAACCACTCGTTGAATAACCTTACCATGCATATACCCGGGGGTGATCCCACGTCACCCTATCTCATATAGGTCCGATAACACATTTTAACTAAAATCACACAATCCAGCCTAGCCCATAAATCATAGAACCACATTGCACTTTCCGAAATCATACACAAGATCAGAACCTCACATCTATATTCAGAATAAGCCCGAACCAGCTGTAATAACCCATACCTGTAACCTCAGGTGCAATCATATGATAACCACATAACTCAAACACTCGAAACGATAACTTCTATTCACAGCAGCTGCACACAACACGCGAATACCGGTAAAAAACCTCTTATCAACTAAGGACTTATTCCAACACTTTTATATACTGCTAATGATAAATGAAACATGCAATAAACCATAACCATCTCTCAGGTCAACCATTAATGAAGTCACTTCCCTTTTGTCTAATACCACAGCAGAGTTTCGAGCCGAACCTCGATATTATCCTTCCAACAAGCTGAAATCAAATCCGT